CATGGAACCTGATTAGTCTTGTTTTTAAACTGATTAGGACTTGAGAACTGATTCTTCCCTTTAGAAAGGTGAATTTCAGAGTGAGAATATGCTATAAAGTAGTTTTAATTGGTTAGGAAATTTATAATGTTTTTCAAGGACAGTATTAGATGTGCTGAGTCCTAATCACACCTGGTTTTACTGTGTTAGCCATTCCACCTCAATTTTAGGAGTGGAGAAAAGACAGAAAGAGGATAGTGAGGGCTTAACCACATGGGCTGTGCTCACTCTTGAATGCCTGGGGAGTTGTTTGCTACATTAGAAGACATCATTTTTCTTTGCCTAAGACATTAAAGGACAGAATTATTGCCACATTTGCTTTCTGTCACGGAGCTAATATAAAATCAAGATTCATTCTTTCCACTTCTCAGAGTCAAATCTGCCACTTTAGTATTCCACTGCATCTTTTTTTTTTTTTTTAAAGTTTGGAGGATAGGCATGTTGGAAGGAAGGCTATTGGACAAAAAACTGGATTGGAAATTTCATCTGGAGACCATTTAGCATTTTAGGATGTAAAGTAATTCATGACTAAGTCTCTCATAGTACAGGAGAAAGAGTTTGGAATAAATATTTTGGCTCTGAATGGTGACCTGGTTGCTCTGAATTTAAGTACAGTAGAAGGAAGTACATCAGCTAAAGCAGTTGCTTAGCTTGCAGGCTGAAAAATCCTCCCAAGTCACAATACATGAATTAATTTTAAGCCAATAGAGCAATATATAATTGTATATTATATAATCTAATATAGTCATCTTAAATATAGAACTTTAGCAATTAGAGTACATTTTTAAGGAGTTGTGTGAAGAATTTCTTCATATTCTTTTATGTGAATTGACTATGAAAAAGTATATAGTTCTGATAAAATTTCAAATCTTCCTCATTGGGAAATTTGAAAAGATTTGAACACCTCCCTGTGAATATTTCAACTAGCCTGCTACACTATTTTCAGCTGTCTTCAGTTCCTTATAGAACAAGACAGAATTATGTAAATATAAAAAAAATTACTTGCAGATCACCTCTCCTTGTGGACTCAGCAGCATCTTTTGTTCTCTCTGTCAAAGCCTTAGTTAATATTAAGTTTCCACATATGCCAGCAGCTTTTCAGTTTCTAATTCCCAACAAAACCTTTGCTTGCTGGGTTTGATCTCCTAAGAAAAAATGAAAATAGTACTTATCTCTTTAGGATTCTGATGTAATCAGACTAGACTGTTTCGTTGTTGAATTCTGTGGCATTTTCTAGGATCAAGTATGCTTCATGTGACTTGTACTTCCTTATATCTGAATGGCATAATTTTTGAGCCTGCTATTACTGTGCGGAAACCAGAATCAATTGAAGAAGTAAGAGTCCAATTCATGAAATTCATTTAAATTTATTTAAATTTCATGAATACTGCCCACTAATTTTCATTACTTGCTCCTACCTTAGGACCTTTATGTTTGCAACTCCCCTCACCAGGAGCACTGCATTTCTAGATCTTACCTGACTGGATGCTTTCCTATTCAGGTCTCCATCCAGAGGTCACATACTCAGGGAGGCCTTCTTGGCTGTTCTAACCTAAAGCAGCCCCTTCCTATGTTGTCACTTCACCATTTTATTTTCTTCAAAGTCCTTGTTGTTTTCCAAAATTATCCTGTTCTATTATTATCATCATTAATTACCAGGATTACCATTATTATCCTAACAACAAGAGTACACAAATTGAGTTTTTCCTACATGCCTTATGCAAATCATTGTGTTTTATGCAACATTTTTGTAATGACAACTAACATTCATTGAATACTTACTACTCACCAAGCACTAGGCTAAGCATTTATTGTACTAAGCCAGGTCAGTGTCATCTCTTGCTTGGACTGCTGCAGTGGCTTCCTAACTGGCCACCCTTTTTTCATCTTAGCCTCTTTACAGTTCATTGCTTACATAGCAGCTAGTCATTCTTCTAAAACATAAGTCAGGTACATCATGATCAGCTTTCAGCATCGTTCATGTTTTTGGCCGTCCTCCGGTCGTCCCAGTGGCTTACAAGCTCCTATGTCACCTGGCCTCCCACCACCTCCTTGCTGTATCTCTAACCTCTCCTTGCCATTTTCCCCTCTGGCCATGGTCTCTGAATCATCCTTTGCTCAAATTACCACCCACTCCCCTGGTATCATTTCTCCCTTCACTTAGGTTTCTGCTGAAATGTCACCTTCTCATAGAGGCCTCTCCCCGCTCACTTATGACTCATTTCTCTTCACTCTGCATCATATTACTCATTTGTCTGTCTTCAGTAAATACCTGTTGAGTGTTTATTAAATACCAGGTCCTGTTCTCAACACTGGGTATGTGAAGTCAGTACAATGGGCGGAATCCCTGACGGCATGGAGATATGGGGTAGGCATAAAATAGACTCAATAAATAGGAAGCACATAAGGTCACTTTGGGAAAGCTGAAGCAAATGAAAGGCTCAGGTTGATGAGACAGGAAAGGGAGAGTTAAGTTTACAGTAGGGCAGTTGGAGGAGGCCTAGGGGAGACAATGGACATTTTGCAAAGTCCTGAAGAAAGTGAGGGAGCGAGCGATGTAAATAACTACATGGAAGTGTGTTCTGGATGGAAGGAACATTGAGTTTGAAGGCTCTGAAGGGAGAGCATGTCTAAAATACTCAAGAAGCAGAAGGGGAGGCTGTAGCTGGAGGATAGGAGCCAGTCGGGGAGGGAGGTGTGGCTAGAGAAATGACAGGGGTGCCAGATAATAGCACCCAGCGCACCCCACCTCTCTGTTTGGGAGATTTTGAACAGAGGAGCCTCCTGAGCTGACATGTCTGGCCCTTGTGTGGAAAATAGAGTTTCAGGGAGCAAGGTTTGAAATAAAGGGTCCAGTTAGAAGATCCTGAAAAGATTGGAGCGGGTAGGGTCAGGTCAGGATGGCAGAGTAGAGATAGTGAGACCTAATTGTGGTCTAGATATATTTTGAGGGTCAGTCCTATATGTTTACTAAGAAATTGAGAAATAGAGCAATTAAGGATGCCTCATGCCAAGATATTAAATCCAGACCACTGGAAGGATGTAGATGCCAGTACCGAGATAGGGAGGCAGTAAAGGGCAGATCTAAAGTGGAAAGAAGGTCATGAGCAGGCCTTCAGTCAGCATTCTGGAGCTCTTGTGGGCATGAGAAAAGGCTGCTCCTGTAGACTGATTCAGTAGGCACTGTCAGAGTGAACTGGATTTCAGGCCCCATTCCTTCCCTTGGCAGGGCCTCTCTCTGCACAGTTGTAGGCAGTGGCATTAGTCAGGGACTTTGCTCTGGGCCATGGTAAGTTTGTAGCCACTGAGATGCTGATTGGGCTGCTGGGTTCAGGGAGGCAGAGAGACTGCAGAGGTAAGGCTGTGTCATGAGACCACACCTAGCTGTTTTATCTTTATATTTTTTATATATTTGTGTATGTGTTACGTTGTACATTAGATATGCTTTATTTACTCATTCATTGTCTCCGCCATCACTGTGTAAGCTCGAGGTGATCCATGTCTGTGTTTACTACTCAGTTGTGTTATACCCAGACCCAGCTCAGTGCCTGGCACCTGAACACTGATTAACGTGGTTGGATTAATACCCTAATTGGGGGTACCACTGCTTTCTACTTGTCCTGTGGATTTCATGAAATTGAGTGCAATGGCCTTAAGGTCTAATTGTCAGTTTGTCAGACATTCCCATTTTCTACTCAGTACTTCAAGTCCAAAGAGATTTTAAAACCCTCACCACTGAAAACCATTTGTTATGTGATTACCAAAAGGAAACTTGAGTTCCAAGAGGCCATAATACTTAATCAAGATTGCCTTGCAGCCAAAAACACACGCTAAAATGATGGGGAAACTTGAAGGAAAATGATCCTGGTTCAGATAGCAAATTCCTTTCACGGTGACTTCTGAGCTTCTGGCCTGTTCTTGAGGGGACTGTTAACACTTCGCTTTCACGTTGAGATTTTCTTGTTGGTAAGGGTTTACTTTTAACTTTACTCTGGTGCATTGAGGGTAAGAATTCCAATTTTATGAGAGGAGGTAAAGGTTGACTTGATTCAGCACTTCTGTTGCATTTATGCATTTAGACTTAAGACAGGGGAAGATAGATGCCTAAGACCTCTGCATTTTTATTTGGATTGGTCAGTAATGGCTTTGCACATGAGGTGAGGTTTGAAATGGCTCTGTGTTCTTTACTATTGTTGTATAATGACAGACCACTCCCAAATTCAAGTATTAAGGCTCATAAGACTATGGTTTAGATAAACTTGATGGGACCCCCTCATGAGTTGAGTAAGCAACTGCTTAACTTGGCTGGGCTCTCTCACATATCTGGTGCCTCATTCTGGTCTAGTATGGCCCTGGCTGGGATAACTGGGCTGCCATCCTGCAGTAGGCTAGACCAGACTAACTTACATGACATGATTTCAAGAGCTAGACCAGAAATGCCCAAAACTTCTTGAGGCCTTAACCTGGACCTGGCACAGCATAACTTCTACCAAATTCCATTGGTCAGAACACAGTTGAAGAAATAGACTCAACTCATGATGGAGAAGCTGTACAGTCATATTGCAAGAGTGTAGTTAGAGACCATTAATTGGAGCTATCAGTCTAATAGATGGCTTGAAGGATAAGTAGGTAGGGTTTAGAAGGAGGACATGAAGTTACTGGTATGAACCTCCTCTGGTCTAAAGAAGAATGCACATCAACTATCCTGCATCCTACCTCCCTAATGTCTGAGAAACACAAGAAGTATAAGCTTCTCTATTGGCTTGTAGGTTTTAATTAATCTCATTGGATATTAATTAATCTCATTGAAAGTATATCTTTCTGGAGAAGATTTCATAGAATATATATATACACACACACACTACACTGTTTTCCAAGATGCTTGGCATACAGCCGTATTTCTGATAGTTATCTGGATCATTGGTGTTTTCACAAGTAATGATTGTCTGCTTCTCTTGTAGGATTACGCCCATGTGTTGACCTGTGTTACTGAAAGAGAAAAGTTTATTGTGCCCATCAAAGCTAGAGGCGCACGAGCCATCATAGACTTTCCAGACAAGCTGAGTTTCCCCACTTGCCCTGTCAAGTACAGCACTCAGAAGACCCTGCTGGTACGAAACATTGGCAACAAAGGTTCTGTGTTTCACATCAAAACTCATAGGTACGCATTCCTTCAGCTCTTGGTTTTGATCGATTCGAGCTAATCTAGTCCACACATGTAATTTCCCAGAATAGCAGTCAAGATGCAACTGCTTATTACAATCTTCAGTTGCAAGGATGGGAGACCTCCTTGACATGGGGCAGACTTCCTCTTCATCCCATGAGAAAACCAAAATTCAAGGTTACCTATTTGGGTATAAGTGGTTTTCTGAAATGCTGGATAAGAGACTGAGCAATAGAGAGATTGCATAACTTGCTCAAGAGTACACAGCTAGTAAGCGAAGTTGTTCAATGTTAATCTGACTATTTATTTGGTAGCTACAGTGTAGTAGACAGTGAGATAGTACAAATATGGCCCTCAAGGACCTCTCTTATAAGACAGGAAAGAACAGTTGTTATGGGACATGAAAATGCTGGCTGATGAGCAGGACCATAATAAGAATGGCCAGCCTGGGAAGACAGGAGACAGAAGGTCAAGTTCTTTTCTGTGGCTTTTTGAAAAATAGTGCAGATCCTGGGCTGGATCATGAATTCATTTTCATAAGGGCTTTATTTGTGGAATCCTTTGCTAGTTTAAGGATACATCTCTTCAGAAAGGATTAGCATTTACTTCTGCCTGGTTACCAAAGGTTAGACCACATACACTGCCCTCCTGGGAATTTCTTGGCTTAGGGTTTCCTGGACTGAGCATGCATGTCTGAACCTCAAACCTGTAGAAGACACGTGTCCAATATTAATTCCCTAGAGTCCCTATTTCCCTCCCTTAGAACCAAGATAGACATTTTCCCTTGTGCTAATGTTTTGGTAGCCTTTGACGTTTCTCAGGTTTATATGGGGATTTTGTTGCCAGTCCCCCTCACTTCACCATCCCAAGACCTTGTCTCCTAGTTTAGCAAGGCTGTTAAAACCCAGGCTTCAAGGGCTCAGTTGCCTACTGCTCTGGTTCTTATTTTCCTGAGGATTTGAATCCTGTGGATTTGCCTTTTCTTTTTTATTCACACGCTTAGCTGCACATTTACGTAAGTTATTTTTTTATCCAGACTTCCTAGGTATTTTCTGGTGGGATAGTTTTCATGTTACTTGGTCTGCTATGTTATAAGTAGCAGGGATGCCATAATGTAGGTTGAAGCACATCCCACAGGAGGGAATTCATGCTTATTCTTACATGTGTCCCAGGAGCATCACTATCTTTAAACCAGTTCATGTAGATTCAAGTTTCTGTCTGGTATCATTTGTTCCTGGCTGAAATCTACTTTAATATTTCTTGTAGCACAAATCTAGTGGATATTCTATCAGTTTTTGTCTACCTGAAAAAAAGCATATTGTCTTCATTTTTGAAAGGTTTTTTTCTCTATAGAATTGTGAATTCTGTATACATTTGATGAATATAGAATTATATATACATTTTTTAGTACTTGAAAGATGTCACTTTATTGGCTTTTGGCTTACATTTTTCTAATGAGATTTTAGAGATTTCTAGTTTTGTTCGTCTATAGGTAATTATATCTTTTTCTTGGGCTACCTTCAAGATTTCTGAAGATATTTGGTTTTTAGCAGTTTAAATGTGATGAAGCTAGGTGTGCATTTTGTTTTTGGTTATTTTTTGTTTTAAGAATTTTATTTTTCTTTTATTTTGTTTAGAACTTAATCCTGCGTGATGTTCTCTGAGCTTCTTGGATCTTTCCTTATTTTTGGAAAATATCAGCTATTATCTCTCAAATACGTCTTTTGCTTTTGCTCCATCCTCTTTCATCATTTCTTCTGCTTGTAGGAATGCTCTGCCTGCCATAGGTGAACTCCTCAGCACACCTCTCATCTTAATTAGGAGCAGGGCATTGCCCATTTTTGTTGGCCCTGCAATGTCAGCTCTCTTTTCTCATTTTTCTAATGAGAAAAATTGTGATTTTGTGGTTTATCTGGCGTTTTTCATTGTTAGGGTAGGAGAAACACTCTTTCAAGCTTTCTACCTTCTAGGTGGAAGCGGGACTCTGACCCACTTTAGATAAATCAGTCAGCAGAGGCAAAGGAAAAACTCTTGTCAATCAGTGTCTCCTCAGATTGTCAAAGTACTTATAAAGCTTTTGTTTGCATTTTGTGGTGAGACTCATATTTTGATTGAAGGGAAGGGATCAAGTTGTTCAACTGGCTCACTGTCACTTAGAAAGAACCAATCTCTTTTCATTAAGAAAAAAGACCCTTCATAACCGCCATCCATAATACACGTTAAAAACTTCCTGTTACATTGGTATTGTTCCAGTGAAAGAGAGAACCCATGTAAGGTGGAAAAACGAACACAGGCAGCATATCTTCCTGAATTGTTTGGCTGAATCTTCAAAACTGCACATAAATGGCAATACATTGATATAAAGTAAAACGAAATCACAGATTTAATAGTATGAAGTTGCAGGAAAAGATCTAAAACTTTTGTATCCACATAGCTCAAAGTGAATCATAATGTGGAAACACTTCTAAGGTAAAATGGTGAGCTAACTCAAGGACTAGCCAGGAATCATGATAATATTAGAAACTCTAGTCCCACATTTTAACTTTATAGATGAAAGAAGTAAGGTCTGAGAAGGGAAATGACTCATTCAAGTTCTCCCAATAAGTTAATAATAAAACTTGGATTGAAAACAAACATGGGCCATTTCTGGCCTTGTTTACCTTAAAAATCCATTCCTTGCCCTTTTAGACTTTGCTCAGCGTCAGTGTTGGGCTGTGTTAGCCTCCCTAGCCTGTGGACCTGCTGGGCTCCAGCTGTGTTTGTCCAGGGGGGTGGGAACTAGAAGGGGGTTGGAGAGTGGGAAGAAGTCAGAGTTTTTCTCTTTCTCCCTTTCCGACTTCAGTAGAGTCCCCAGCAAGCAGTTGCATCTCTACCGTTCTAGCTCCTGTCAGACAGACCTGCCATGGTTCCAACTTCCACCCGCTCCCCAGGATCTGCTAATACTTCCTCCTCTCCTTTTGTCTCTAGCCCAGTGATGGAAGTGGCTTACTGCTCTTACCAATCCCTGAGCTAGTTCACCATCTTAAGTTGGGCTTTTCATAGCTTTCATCTTCTATATAATCAAATCTTTCAGTTGAATTTCCTGTTCATTTTTGTTTTCCTGTGTAGGTTCTGCACCAAATGGTACTTTTACGTTCTTTCCTCTAAATGTGTGTCTTCCAACCATGATGTCGATTCTGTGAGTTACTTCTAAATCCTTCCAATAAATCCCTTTCTGTCTAAGTTCGCCAGAATTGGTTTCTGAAGAATGCAGCTGATTTTGTGGTCACATTGTATTAAATCCGAATGTCTGGGGAGATCCCCTAATGACTATCTATTCTAAAAAATGCATAGGTGATTATGTTGCCCAGGCAGGACTGAGGACCCCTCTTTCATTGACAACATGATTGTCAACAGACATAGTGGATCAGTAATAGTTTGGGAAGTCAAAAAGTCTTGCTTCTTTTATGATCATTATACAGTTAGAAATATCTCTTAGGAAATTGTTTAAAAAAAGCAAATCATATTATTTTCATTGAAATAATGGCTTAATTAATGATTAAGTTTATAAATAGGTTCATAAAAATAACAAAAAATAAAACTCTTTATGTGTCTGTTGCTACCATTAGAATATGAGCTTCTCAAATGCAAGGATTTTATCTCTTTTCATTTGTATGTCCCCAGTATCTAGCAAAGTGTCTAGAATAAATAAGTGCTCAATAAATGTTTATAGGATGCCTAACCAACAGTATATCACAACAGCAGAGCTACAACTATAAACCTCTATAATAAATTTAAAATAAAAAACATGCTCCAAGTACTATAAAAGAGGCATAATATTTTTTTACACTATAAAAGGAGCCTCAATGTGCTGTAAAATATACAGAGAACACAAACAATAAGTTTTCAACTTTATTACAGATTTGACCTAAAACTCTTGTAGGTACCAGAATAACTTTGACTATTAAAGTAGGTTTAATTTTGGAAGGTGAAATAGAAAGAATGAAGAAGCAATTTTAAAATCTAAAATCTCAATTTAGGAATCAATTAATAAGAAAGATTCTCTGAAGGAAAAAAATACTAATTTCATATTCATTGTTTAATATAATACAACCAATATTTAGCCTTCTGCTAAAATATTGAATCATTTGGATGGGATATTTTAGTTCTTATGAGCAGTTCATAGTGAATTGAACAAAAACTCAAAATCTTTCTCATGGCTCATGATTTTTCACAAACCCGAATTCCCTCCCTGATCAAGTATGCAGTATTAATGAGGATGTCAAAACCAGACATTCTGGTAGACAGAGCCAGCCTTATACCCTGGAGGAACAGCACCTTTTACCTCTTTGTAAGATCATTTTCTGGTACTTGATATTCTCTAGCCTTTTCTGTCTGTCTGCCTTTAGTAAAATGAAGTACAGAATCAAATTATAGACAATGTTTAAGCACCAGAACTTAACACACTCTCTCCAATTAATGTCTGATTTATTGAGGAAGCTTAGGCAGCTCTAAGTAGCAATGACTCTCCCAGGTGACTTTCTAACCACTGAAGAAGTTTAGTGTAATGTAAGCCCAACAATTAGCACAAAAAGGAAGAAACTGTTACCACTGTTTAGAATTAGGATTTTTAGAGGTCCTAAGAAGAATCCCTTTGTCCATAGAAAATTAACTTAGGTTCTGTAATGTAATACTAATTCATTCCCAAACTGTTATTTTGCTACTGAGAAATGTCTGAAAAGAAAATGAAAACACAGTGTGGGAAGAAAAATATTAGGAATGAGGGAAGCAGAGTTAGAAGAAAATACTACAGTGTTTTTCTCAAAGCCAGGAAGCTGGGGCCAGTTCTTGATTCTTTCTGAGCCTTTAAGAAAGGAAAAAACTTTAAAGACAGTAAGATTCGCCTGCATCTCCTATCAAGTAGAAATTCTTGAGATACCAGAAGTCTGCTCCTTCTGTATTCCCCGAAAATGGTAGAAAGATTAAGTAAAAAATAGATATATTTTTAATTTCCCTTTGAAAGTTGATTATAATTCAATTCAACATGTTTTGAGAGGCTCTTATGAGTAAATAGCTGTGCATGGGCTGATGAGAGACACAAAGATAAATCTAATCAGATGGTTTCCACATTCAGGGATAGTTTGGGGAGATAGAGAGAACTTGACCTTGAAGGCAGGCTTCCATCCCTGCTCTACCACTCACTAGTTGGGTAGCTTTGGGCCGGTTGCATGTGCTTTTAGAGCAAACATTTCTCATGTCTAAAATGCAAATAACAAGACCTACTTTCTTAAGGTTTTTGAGGATTAAAAGAATTGACATACATGAAATGCCTACTGTAGTATCCAGCTCTGGAGTAGAGTACATGCTCTTGAAATTTTGCTTTCTCTTTCCTTTCAAAAGTCTCTAGCTATTGAGAGACAGGCATGAAAACTTATTACAGTACAAAGTAAAAAGTAAAAATAAAGTTACAGCTTCCCCTGAGAGGAAGGAGACTTTATTAATAAGAGGGAGAATCTGGAAAGATTCAATTTAAGAGGTAACTCTGAGTCTGATAGGTGACTTTGGAAGGAGTATGATGGGGAAAACAGTGAATGTTCCCATAAAACTCAAGCAGTTCTGAAATGTGAATGTAGGGGGCACTGTCTGGCTGGAAGGAAGAGGAGCTGCAGTGCTGGGAGGGTTATGGGTGAAGAGACTAAAGCCCTCCCATCCTGTCCCCAGCCTGATGTGAAATGTGACAGGTATACAGGACGTTTGGACAGATGTATCTGTTTAATGAGAAAGCCAAAACTCATTGGAAGCAGATTACTTGGGACTTTAAATGTCTAGAACTTTGAACTTTATTACATAAATTATGGGGGCCACTGAAGTTGTTTGAACAAGGTGTTATGTCCTCTGTTTTTCACGATATCTCTGGAGCAGAGTGAAGGATTGAAAGGACAATGACAAACACCCTGATCTCATCTGAATTCTGAAGATCATCCTCTGTCTCCTTTTCCATCTAGGGGCTGCCAGTGAGGGAGATAACAGCAGCAATAACAAAAATAATGACAAACATCTGTTTAGCTCTTCCTATGTGCCAGACTTATTCTAAGCACTTTACCTATGTCAGCTCCTTTAATTCTCACTACAATCCTATGAAATCGGTGCTGTCATTACCTCATTTTGCAGATGAGGAGACTGAAGGTTGAGTAACTTACTCAGACTCATGACTGATCTGGGTTTTGAACTCATTCAGTTGACTCCAGGCTAGTAACTGCTACGTTATGGTGCCCCTACAGCAATGCCTGGAGTTCATCAGAGGGTTGGTGCTGAAGGTACAGGAAATGGACAGACAAAGGGATGGGAAAGTAGTGAAAGAAAAGGGCAGTCCAAGTAGAGAGCACCAGTTAATAATAATTATTAATAAGTTAATAATTGTTCATGGTAGGAAGCACTTGAGATCCTGCAATGATAATCTCAGGTACCACCAAGTGCTACCCAGACTGTAAGCTCCATACCCTCAAAGAAGAAAGGTTAGGTTTTCTGAAATTAAGTTCATTATCTAAGGGAAGATTTTAAGGAATGAAGACTCTAAAAATGCTTGCATTGAAGTAAATAATCAGAAACAGCTTAGCCTGCCAGATACATTGTCCAGCACATTACTTTGAAAAACAAGCAATTTAAAGAAGTGAAATGGACCATGGAAAGAATTAAATGGACTGGGTTTCCTGTTTAAGAGGAAGAGCTCTGAAAGTTATTTAAGGTACATCAGGATCAGATCCGCCTTCTCTCTTACTGCTCCTTTCCAGGGCAATTAAACTCAATTATTTCCTGTTCCCAGATCTACCCTACCTCCTCGTAAGGTCTCCTTGCCTAAATTCTATTTTCAAGAGACAGATGTCCCCTTTCCAAAATCTCTCCACCCTTTTCCAGCTTACTCTCACCCAGGAGGCTGACCTATTTAAGAGGTCAGTAGGCTCCTATGCCTTTGCCTTTTGATTGGGATCAGTCAGTGGGAGCCCCGGCAGGCAATCAGACAAAGGATATGAAGTCAAAACACTTTTCACTCTAGAGTCTTATGTGTGAGGCCCCCTGGAATGACTGTAACTCTTTGACCAAAGCCCTTGGAGCCTTCTCTTAGGCCATTGGTGGGTTTCAAAACCACGCCTCCTCCTTGGCTCTGGGTATTTGTGCTCTTTGGTAAGTGTTCTACTGTTAATAACCCTCCGTGATTGCATTGTCTTTTGTAGTTTCCTGATGTCCCTTCACCCTTTTATTATAAATAGACCCTTTGTTAAACTGCACTCATCTCATCCTCATGCAATTGTGTGATCACTTTCCTTTTGAGACTTTGATATGGTTTTTCCCTTGTAAAAACCTTCTCTTCTCTGAACTCGTCTCAAAACTTGGTTTTTGTCTCTTTGAAGGTGCTGTTCTTTTGCCAATTATAGTATTTGCATACATGTTATAAGCCCATCCTTCACTGGAATCACTCAGTGAATGTTCAAAGAATGGCTAAACAGCAAGGATACAAACAAGACTATTATGCACCATTTAAGTTTTTCTTACATTTGTTGTTCTATATCTGTCATTTTAATATTAATATACAGTTTTTTCACATTAAGGAGAAAGTATAATTCTGAATCACTGAATTGTGGTGTAGGGTGTGCTCTGTCTGCAGACCTGGAACTCATATCTCCTCTCCCCTTCCCCTCACACTAGTCAGCAGTGTGTTCTGATGGTGTTTGTCTCCATGTGTGTTGCAGGCCCTTCTCTGTAGAGCCATCTGTTGGAACTCTTAATGTAGGAGAGTCCATGCAACTGGAAGTGGATTTTGAACCACAGACTGTGGGCAATCACAGTGAAAGACTTATTGTGCATTACGACACAGGTATGCATTATTCTTTGGTAAAAGTTCTACATGTTATGAAAAGTTGGATGAAAAACATGATTAAGGAAAATAGGAAATGGTTATTTTGAATGCGTTAAAGCTAAGACCCACATGGTAAAGAACTAAAGAGTAAACACCTCCAGCAGAAATAATGTTGAGCCACATATAAATCCCACCTACCAGTTTCTCCATTGCTTGAAAGCCTGAGAAATACAGGGCTCAGAAGGAAGGGAAGGAACCAGTTACCCAGAAGTTACACTGGTAGACTGAGGTTATTTATATGTAAATGTAAACTTGAAGATAATTTAATATTCCTTGGGCCTTCAGTTTACTGCTGCCTTTGTCTAACATTTAAAAACTATAAACTCTAGTTCAAAATGTTCTTCTGTGTGCCCTCTAGTCTGTTTAAGATCTGGTTATTTAATCCTTAGAATATGCAAATGTCTTACTTAACATCTTACTTAAATCTGGGGCTTTGTTGCTGCTAGCATTTTCTTAAAGGCCTTGCCCTGCATAATAATGAATATTCACTTACTGTTTTTGCAGCTATTTGGTCTGTGGTCATGTAGATTGCATGTACATTATGCCAGTCTCCAAAGTTGGTTTGCAAATTAATATATGTTATTTTGTTGTTGTTCAGTTGCTAAGTTGCATCTGCCTCTTTTGTGACCCCATGGACTGTAGCCCACCAGGCTCCTCTGTCCTACTATTTATTGTTTTGTGATTTTTCTCACTTTTTCTCATTCCTTCTTTACCCATTTATGTTGATTGACCTAGATTGTCTTCATCAGAAGGGCATTGTAGGGAGAAAACAGTGCACAGTCAGGGAAAAATCAGCAAATAACATCTGGGTCACAGTTCAGAATTGCTGGCTTTGTGGATGTGTGTCTGAGCAGGACCAATCAAGCCCTTGCTTGAGGACCTGTGGGTAAGTGGTCCTGGCTCCACAAAGCCCAGCATAACAGCAACTAATCATCAGTGGCTCAGTCTGTGTTTACCTTTTTGTGTGTCCACAATTCGCTGGCTGCTGGCAAGACAGATTCAGCCTGGACTTAGCTTAAGGAGAAGGGGGTAGTTTCAGCCCTGGTAACCCAACGGTGGAAGATTAAAAGCAGAGTACATAAACCATCATGGATGTCAGTTTTTCAAAGTGGTGCCGTCTTAGTCTCCCACTGACAAAGCATGGGGTCCTGTTCGCTTCACCCTTGCCTGCCCGCAGTGTTGTACTGTTCATTCCAGGCATCCTGGGTACATAAAGTGATGTCTTCTAGTGGTTTTAGTTTTTATTTCTCTAATGATTAATGACGTTGGGCACCTTTTCATGTTCTTGCTGGCTTTTAATTTATCTTTTAAAATTAAGTTTCAAGTCTTTTGCTCATTTTTTTTTTTTTTACTGTTTTTCCTTTTATCATTAATTTGTAAGAGTACTTTACAACTTGTTATTCTGAATACTAGTCATCTGTCAAGTGTATGTATTGCTAATCTTCTGTTCCATTCTGTAGATTGCCTTTTTATTTCCCTAATGATATTTCTTGACAAGATGACATTTTTAATTTTGATGAAATCTCTACTATAATTTTTTTTTCTTTTAAGACCAATGCTCTTTGCCTTCTTGCCAAGAAATCACTGCCTTTTCCAGGATCATGAATATGTTCTCTTTTGTCCACTTTTATAAGGATAGTAGTTTTAGCTGCTTTGTTTAAATTAATGATTTATCTTTTATTTCATTTTTGAGTATGTGTCAGTTGCAGACCATGCTTCTTTATTTTTACCCTGTGGGTTATTAGCTGATCTCCTTTCTATTATTCTGGAATTCCAACTACTTACTATATTATTCTATTATTTGTTCTACTATTTGTCTATTATTTAGTCCTTTTAACCTGTATTTTGTGTTTCCCATTTTTTTTTGCAGACTTCTCTGAAGGCTTCCTATGCATTGTCCCATTCAGTAATTTCTTCTTCAGTGAATACTCATCTGCTGAGTTTTAATTTTTCAATTATTTATAATTATTTTAATTTCTGAAAGTTTATTTGGTTCTGTCAAATCTGATTGCTCTCTACTCTTATTTTTCATATTTTCCTTTTATTTCTTTAATATAGTAAATATAGTTATATTTTATATTTGGTAATTCAGACATACTAAGTCTGCTCATCTATTTATTTGTTTATTTTGTTGTTTGCTGTTTCTTATGGTTTTCTATCATGGTATCCAGTAGAGGAGGAAAAATGTCTTTTTTTCCTCTATCCATTTTGTTTTTTAAGATGTGGCCCCTGTAACAAAGGACAGATCAACAAGAGAAGAGCATAAAAATGTATTTAATATAAGTTTTATGTGGCATGTGAGCAGCTGGTAAAGAATTCATCTGCAATGCGGGAGACCTGGGTTCGGTCCTTGGTTTGGGAAGGCCCCCCTGGAGAAGGCAAAGGCCGCCACTCCAGTGTTCTGGCCTAGAGAGCCCCATGGACGGCATATGTATGGTCCATGGGGTTGCAAAGAGTTGGACACAACTGAGCAACTTTCTCTTGCAACTTACTTGAGCCTTTGTAAGAAATGATCTGAAGAAGTAGTAAAATCTGAATTCTTCATGCTAGGTTCGATGAAGGGCAGAAGGTTGTGGGAAAATGTGATAGGACCAAACAGTGTTTGAGCTAAGCATAGTAAATTGAGGGAAACAGTAAGGCCTGTTAATTCAGATTCCTCTTGGTATCCTTCTGTATTTGAAGGTAAACATACTTCTTTCTATCTGGTGTTGAAATGTACCTCTCAAATAGAGGATCTTATTACCTGCTTCAGGGGAGGTTAACAAAGTCCCTCTTCCACCTGCCATTTCTTATATTCCTTCAGTTTGATATGTTTAATATGTCAAGGTGCCATGTTTTGTGGTAGTATGTTATAGATCCCATCATATCTTATGCCTCTTTGTGTTTTATAATTTTTGGATTTAGCATCGTCATTTTGGGCAGGTCCTGGACTTTATGTCCTGTACTAGGCATCCAATGTAATAGTTAAAACAGAGGTTCAAAGGATAACAAAGGCCAGTAGGGCGAAAGACAGCCTTGGCACTAGATTATTTCCTGATAGTCTTCATTTTGCTTTAATGTCCTTATTTTCCTATCAGGTTAGTAATCAGTTTTAAAGTAGTTTGAAAATGTTTTATTGAGTATTTTAGTTATTTCAATTTCTAGTTTAATATGCTGCTTAAAACTGACTCTAATATATGTCTTTTTTCACCTTATGCAGCTGTATTTATGCAGTAGTTAGACTGCCCATACATCATCAGTAGAATCAAAACTTGAGAGAGGACAGTGAGAATCCAGCCTAGTCCCTAGCTTTGTTTGCACATGGAAAACTGACATCCAAAAAAAAAAAAGAAAACTGACATCCTAGGAAGTGAAGAGGCTTGCCTGTAGCTCATATAAGTAGTCAGGAGCACAGTTAGAACCCAGACTCAGACTCTCAGCTCTCACGAAGTGCTTTTTCCTCCGTAGTGGGTCATCTCCCTAATCTCTTATATTACTGCATCCACAGTTTTACTCCCTTAACCTGTTGACTTTAAAATGCAGCTATCTGTACATTCTCCTAGCAGCCCTCAATCTGGATTTTACTTTTATGTAAGTATTTGGATTGACACACATACTTACATTTGTAGTCCCTTGCTAAAGAAAGTGAATATTTGTATATTAAAATTTAGTCATGCATAGAAAAGTTGAATTCCTACACTGAGGTTCTGGTGTCAGCTTTGATTTTTGAATAAAGTCATTTTCTAAAGATTGCAGACAGAGATAAACTGTCTTGTAGCATTTTCCTTACATGAAAAGAACTGCTGATAAGAATATGCTTTCATCTTTATTGTGGGTTATCAATGACCAGGACTTATAGCCTTTCATTAGTGAAAAACAGTAATGACTACCTAAACACAATTAATCACAGAGCTTTTCCCAGCAGCCTTGATCACATTGGCTTGTCATCTCACTAAATAAGCATCTGATTGAACTTTCTGCAGCTGTTTGAAGTATGAATTGATTTGAGGAGGGAAATTTAGCATCATTTTCCCTTCATACTTCTTCAAACAATGTTCCAAGGAGAAACAGTGATACTCCTCAGCAGGAAGTACTCAGTCACTTTTCTAACAGTTGTGTTTATGCCCTTCCATTGCTGGTCCTCCACTGGATTTAATTATTGATTAAATACAGCTAGGACATGTTGTTTTCTTGACATCCAGAGCTTGAACCAGTGCTCTAGCAATTATGGCAGTCAAGTGTGAATTTTACCAACATTAATATTTTACTCATTATCATTTTCCTGAATCATATCTCTCCCCTCCTTTTCTCCTGTGTATGCCCTTCCATAGTGAAATCAAGTTTGTTCAAGCAACTGATTGTACCCCAGGGATGATTTAGTTATATTTTTATTATAGTCAAAAACTAAGAAAGAACTGAAGTAACTGAAGGTTTTTGCAAACTACAAACCTCCAGAAGAGATTAGGAATACAGTTTCTCAAGGTTACATTAATAACAGTGAAATAGAACAAAAACAAAGCTAAAACAAAACCAGAACAACTAGTAAATTAGTTCTATCATTTGATTAAAACTGAGAAGTGAAAATATTGACAATTAGGAGACAAATAGCTGGAGTAGGAAATGGCAACCCATTGCAGTATTCTTGCCTGGAAAATTCCATGGACAGAAGAGCCTGGAGGGCTATAGTCCATGGGGTTGCAAAGAGTCAGACAAAATTAAGCACGCATGCACACATGCCCAGGAGACAAAGAAATAATTGCTTAACTTTCACACTTTTCAACTGGGTATTGAGAAACTTTATATAATTTAAGGGTTCAAAGAAATATCAGTATTCAGAATAGGCTTAAAACAGACATAGGTTCTAAAATTTTGGTTACTTGAATAAGCATTAGAAGTAGGAGCATAGCAGTGTTTTTTTCTTTAATGCCTGGTAATGATGCTGTAACTTAGAGCTGACATTACTGGCATAAATAGGAAAC